CGATGAGGAAAGTCTTACTTACATTTCTCTGTTTGATGGTCTATCTTGTAACCAATCCTTTAATAAAAAACAAAAACAAAACTTAAAATAGCATAACTGTTTAACCCTGTTTTATTTCCTACAGTATGTTTTAAGAATGAGTGCTGCAAAATCAACATGAAGTCCTTGTTTCATACAATTGAACTAATGACATAATAAACGAATATAATTACCATAAGAATATTCCTCAAGGTAGAATAAAGAATTTCAGGAGTTTTATTTGCTACACAATAGTCTTTCTAGTTTTTTAAATTGTTTCTGATGACAATTTTATTCTCTTAAAATATACATTTGTTTGCCAAAAGAACATCTAAGTCCAAACAGAAAAATTAAAACCATGCAAACTGTGAACACTCAAAGACAGTCACTAATGATATTTAGGCGTATTTCACTACAGCCTTTCTTGTGTATATGTACATATTGTTTTTATTCTGCAGTTTTATAATGCCATTTCTAGATGTAAGTTTATTTTTACTTCCCCAGTTTGGGACTCATGTCTTCTGAATTTGAATCTTGACATATTTCATCAATTTGAAATATTCTAACCCATTTAATCTCTTCATATTTTGTCTACTCTCTTAAGGACAATTAGATGCATTTTCCATATTTCTTTATCTTTGACCTATTTTCCACCTAATTATAGTATTGCCGTCTGTGTTGCATTCTGGTCCTATTTAGTAATTCTCTCTTCAACTGTGCCTCATGTGGTATTTAATCCCCACTGAGTGTTTATTTCCATATTTTTTTCAAATTTGCCAGTCTTTCTGAATAGTAACTTTTCCTTTTCTCATGTTTTATTCTTAATACTTTCTTTTATGTCTATAATCACTTTAAACACACTTATTTCATAATCTATAATCAATAATTCTATCTTATTAGAGGTCTAATACTGTTTGTTTATGTAGACTCCCTTGAGTTTTCTAATTTGGTACTGTCAGACCATCTTTAATGGGGCTTTATTTGTTGCAACATTGTGTAGCTTAGGTTCAGGATGAGTCCCTCCAGAAAGCAGGATTTGTTATTGTGAAACTGTGTTAACTAACCATTTTCCCCACTGAAATAACTTTTTGTAATAAAATGATTTTAATAACACAATACATCTCTTTAACAGCAGAAAAGATATATTTTGAATGTAAGTTAATATTTTCTTGGTCATAACTATGGGGACTGATTTCTATATACTTGACTATAGAGAAACAATTTTTCTGTTTTCTCCTGGTTGCCAGAGTCTGCTTTTAAAGGTAGTTTGCAAAATCAAATATTACCTGTGGGAATATATGAATTCATTCATATAATTAGTTTCAATTCAAACAAAAAAGTATTCCTAGC